TCCTGCTCAGGTCAGGCCTGGAGACTAAATAGCCTCTCAGGCCGGCTTACCACCCCATCAGGGCTGGCGCGGGGGGCTGTTCGCCAGTAAAGCGTCACAGGGCTATTTCCTAGCTCTAAAGCATTGAGGATGATTTCACAGAACTGCAGAGAGTTATTATTATCTGGGTTTTTCTTCCTACGTCATCCCTGCCCACGAGCCCCAGATCCTGTCAGGCCTGGAGACTAAATAGCCTCTCAGGCCGGCTTACCACCCCATCAGGGCTGGCGCGGGGGGCTGTTCGCCAGTAAAGCGTCACAGGGCTATTTCCTAGCTCTAAAGCATTGAGGATGATTTCACAGAACTGCAGAGAGTTATTATTATCTGGGTTTTTCTTCCTACGTCATCCCTGCCCACGAGCCCCAGATCCTGTCCCGGGAGGCGGCGTAATCCTCCTCCCCCCCCCTCGGTAAAGAAGGGGAGACGTTTTTATCCAACGAAACAGATGGAAGGAGCAGATGGGCCACAGGAAAGACGTCACCAGGGCCCGGGGGTGGCTGCACTGAGGCGTGCTTACATAATGGTCTCGAAAATGCACCATCAGCGGCTCCCCCCACCAGCCTCCTCACTGCGAGAATGTTGGGAGAAGTAGCTGAGAGGGAGCCGGGCTGGGGCCCCACCTGCCTTCCCACCCTGTCCTCCGGGAACTTCGCTTGTCGGAGTGCTGGTCCAACCCACCTGCGTCCATTGGGTGCCCTTCAGCCGCCTGTACTGAGCTTCCCTTTGTAACCGTCTGTCTTTGACCGTCGGGTCATCTGGCTTCGGCAGCGTCAGATTCAGGGTACCATTGGATTTACCATTCAATCTGGCGTGGTCGGGTGGATCCAATTTGACTGGAATTGCAAGGCGACAATAGGCGTTATTGAGGCTTCTAACTCCCGGGGTAGAGGTGGTTTGTGATTCCACAGGGCCGAGGGACCCTCAGAAACAGATCCCGTGTGTGCACAATCGGGCAAACATGTATTTGCACGTGCACGGATACAAACACAGCAGTGTCCACAGAAAACACCAGCACCAGTGCCTCCTCTGCCTCGGTCTTCCTGTGGGCAGGACGAGGATGCAGGCTCCCATCCTGGCAGGCCAGCAGCTTTCACAAGCCACAGATTTTGCATCACAAGAAAGCAGCTGTTTGCTTTCTAAGGAGGCTCACGCGGCTCCCCGCGCACCCAGCTGCTGCACCAAGGGAGCTGGCGTTAGCCTCCACCCCTCCAAGGGATGCTTACTGGCATACTCCAGTTGCAAAGTGATGTTCTCGGTCCTCTCAACTCTGCCTCCACTGTAGGATTCCACCCAGGCAGTGACATTCTCCAGCAAACGCATCCTCCGATAAGGAGAGCTGTAGTGAGTGGAGGGCCCGGTCTTGAACCGCTTGCAGGAAAGGGTGTTGTGATAACTAGGGAAGGAAGAAAGACAGTTATTGCAGTGCCAAGGTGTGTCAATTATTGACTGCAGTGCGGGAGGCCTTCCACTTGCTCGTGGGACCCGGGTGCAGTTGCCATTGTGCAGTGGCTGCTCATTTAACATGATCAACGCGAATAAAGACATTAACTGGCTAACGCACTACAAAGGCAATTTCTTCTGCCTTTGAAATTCGCATTTGCACATCAAAAGCTATGAATGAGATACTTCCTGTCTGACTCAATTTGCGTCATTAACCCTGGTCCTACAATTGACAGGTAACTGCTTTTGCTGTTCTATATCCTCGGGATTCTGTAATTTCCACGCCAACTCATCTGATGAAGTGGGTTTTACCCACGACAGTGCACGATGTAATGTATTTGTTAGTCTCTAAGGTGCCACAGGGCTGCTCGTTGTCCTACTCATTCTATCAGCCCCAGATGCTTCCTTGAATTCTGCTGCAATTGGATGGACTGCGTGGTGTGACACATAAAACCACAAAGGTGACTCTGTCTCTGCTCTAGCTATTATGGGTCAGCAGATGAAGGGGAAATACCATTCAAATGTTTAATTACAGAGAAAATCGGGGTTACAGATGTAGAGGAACCCCAACGGTTGTGAAATATGAAGTGAGGTAAAAGCCTATTGTCTTTGCCAAAGAAATGACAATGGTGTGAAAGGAGCACATTAGAATCTGTAAGAAACTTGGGAAATAAACAGCATCTTGTCAGCTGTTAATTTTCATTTAAATTACACCGCCTTTGAGTTTTCTCTAAGGGTATGTCCACACTCACACCCTCTTTCGATAGAGGGATGCAAATGAAGACATTCGAAATTGTAAATGAAGCCAGGATTTAAATATCCCCTGCTTCATTTGCATAATTGCATTATGGTGCTATTTCGAAATAAAACACGCTGTGTAGACGCGTTATTTCGAGAGAAAACCCTTCTCTTGAAATACCTGTTAAACCTCATTTTATGAGGAATAAGGGTTATTTTGAGAGAAGGATTTTCTCTCGAAATAATGCGTCTACACTGTGTTTTATTTCGAAATAGCGCCATAACACGATTATGCAAACGAAGTATGGGATATTTAAATCCCAGCTTCATTTACAATTTCAGATGTCTTCATTTGCATCCCTCTATCGAAAGAGGGCGCAAGCGTAGACCTACTGAGAGAGGAAACTACTGGGGTTGGTTGAGGTACGTCTGGAAGTGCAGGGGAAATTTTGAAATGGTGAGTTTTACAAATGTGACGGGACCATCTCAGCAGTAGGTCGGTAAGAAAGGAAGTTTAATTGTAATTTGGCGTGATTGTCGCTTCTTTGCTTTTCTTTCAACATGGTGCACAGTCAGCAGGGAGCAAGCCAATCTCCTTGGCTCCGGCGTCTTGTGTCTCTTGTTCTTCCTGTTGCTGGAGCCAGAGGGTCTAACATGCACCCTGCAGGCCCAGCACCCAGCCCACCTGGAGTTCAAATATCTCCACCATCCACAGGTGCAAACTGCCCGCAGACTTCCACACAGGGCTCTGTCTTGTTTCTGGTGCTTGTGTATGAGGCCCTGGCAGAGAAGTTAGAGATGGATGGATGCTGACTTCCCCACCTCCTTGTCCCATTTCTACCTGCCTCATCTCCTTCACTGTCATTCAACTTACCTCCCCTCCAGGTGATTTCTGTCGTTCCGTCCCCATCACCTTCCCTGTCTTCTGTCCATCATCTATCTCCCCAGCATTGTCAGGGCTCGACGATTAGGGCAATCTACTCGCCTGTGGCAAGTAGATTTTAGCCTGGCACGGCGCCACAGCACGATCAGCGCATGTGCAGCATGGTCTGTGCATGCATAGCGTGCCAAACCGTGCAGCTGGTGATCGGGGCTCACCGCCGCTTGTCAAGCCCTGAGCATCGTTATGCATTACATACCCTGACACTCATGCTCCCTGGAAGCTGTGCACTTGTGCGGCCACTTGGGAGAGATTCAAATACCGCCCAGCTGATTAGCAGAGTACCCACCGCTGGGTTTTTGTTTCTCTGGGTGGTGCACATTCATACATGCCTCAGCGCACATAAAAAATGCATTCCTCACACGGGTGGAAAAAAGCTGCAGATGGGTGGAAAGGATGAGAGGGGACAGTAATCCCACATCCCCAAAATATTCTAGGGACTGAGTTTTGTGTGCTTTGGGATGTGCTGCAATACCTTCTCCAGCACCGCTGCATGAGGCAGGCGGGTTTTTGAGATCTACTGTCCCATCTCTATTGTGCCCATCGTCATAATAGACAAACGATGCCCTCACAGCACCCTTCTTCCCTCTCCCTTAGCACCCCTATTGGGGCGTCCAACTCACCAAAACGTGAGAATATAGGTGGCATTTCTGGACGGGGCTGCAGCCCTCCAGGTGCAGTTGAAACTACATTGGTTGCACTTCCTGTAGCAAGCCAAACTAGGATCCTCGGTGGAGCCTGCGGGACACAAAGGAGCAATTGGAGTTGTTCTTTCCTGTTCCTTAGCGGATGTGCAGTGTCAGGAATGACCCAGGATCGTGCCTCCAGAAGAGCAGGAGGCTGGTGCCCATGTATGTCTCTCCAGAGCAGGGACTGGCAAGAAACACACAGGCTGCAGAAACTCAGGGGTTGGCCTCAGGGTTGTCGTCCTTTCCTCTTGCCCACTGGCTTTCAATCCCTGCTAATCTGGAGCTGGGTTGAAGGTGCAGGGCAAAATGTCACCAAGTTCCATCGGATACGCACGACATTACAATGGACTGTGCCTAGTAGGGATGTGAATGGTTAATCAGGGCTGAACCAGATGCGGCCCGGGGGCCGAATCCGGCCCATCTACCCCTTTGATTCGGCCTGTGGTCTGCATCTGGCTGCTTTCTATTTCTAGTCCATTGCCCATGGCACCGAATTTCCAGGTGGTGGCTCAGGCAGCACGATCCTATTTAAATGGCTCATGGGTGCAGTGCTACCCTGGCAGCCGCAGCCACCCGCTGGCACCTGCGGTAGGGACGGGGCCGAGCCCTTTGCTGAGTTTTTACTTCAAAGCCTCCAGCCCCAGATAACTCTGGAGGGAGGCTAGGCCACAGTCCTGCCCCTTCTGCCCAGGCCCTGCCCCGTCCGTGACCGTGTACCAAAAGTAAGTGCCCCCCCCTGCAAAAGTTTTCCCACCCCTGGGCTAACCAGTGAGCATCACCCTTATTGAGTGATGCTTACCAGTGACAGTTAACACAGGCAGGAGACTGCTCCTGCTCTAGCTCAGAGGGGCCCATCAGGAGTGGGGGATGGGCTCCAGCTTGGCCAGAGGAGCCCTGACCACAGCAGGCCCAGCCTGGTCAGAGCAGCAGGCCACGGGTAGGGATGCTCCAGTCTGGCTGCAGTGGGAGGGTGGGTCGTGGCCCCTTGCCTCCCATTTAAGTGGTTAAATGGGATTTTACCTCCCTGGTGCCTACGAGAAAGAGAGGAGAGCAGAGAGCAGCACAGGCCTGGTACCTTTCCAGGCCAGGCTTGCGGTTCTAGCTTTGGGATGCCCGACAATGGGAATGGGCTAAATCCAGCTAAGCACCTGCGGTGCCCTTTCTCCCTCTCCTCGCAGCATGTGCTGCAGGGGGCTGGGGCCAGCATTCACCTCCGCTGTTTCATCTGCCACTTGGGTTTTCCAAGCCTTCAGAGATATGCTCCCCCAGGTGCATGACAGACAACGGGATCTTCCGGGGCTCTGTGGGGAGCCTGCTGCCCACCCCACCGAACTGGGGCAAGTGTCGTGGTCCACTGACCACAGGAGGCAATGAAGAGAGCCCCCTCCCCTCAGGTCCACAGATCTGCGCTTCCCTGTAGTAAGGATCACCAGGGTTTGATGCTTCCATATGGCAGGTGTGTCTGTCGGTGCAGGGGTGAGTGCAAAGGTGTATGGAGAAGGGGGAGAGAGAGTGTGGGTGCTAAAAGAACATGTGGGCACTGTGTATTATGTGGCAGACCGAAAGCAGCCGGCTGCAGGAGTTTGATCCTATTGGATTCCGGGAGGGGGGTGGGCGTTAGCTCGCCCACATCTAAAGGACCTTTCCCCAACCCATGGGGAGGGTCTACAGAGCCCAGGACATCAAATGATTATGAGGGACAAGTGAAGAGAAAAGGGAGAGGGGTGTGGAGGTCATAGGGTCAAAATGAGGGAGCCGGATGGGGACACCGAGCAGAGCACCCCGGACAGCGCCCACTGCCCCTCGAAGGTCTGGAGAGAGCCAGCAGACTGCCCGTGAACGGATACAGGAGTGGAAATAGACCCCTCCCTCAGCCAACCTCTGCTCCCTGGTTTTGTAGATTGCCATCTTGGCAAGAGCCAGGAGAAGGCTGACGAGGAGGTCCTGCGACTTAGTGGGGCCACGGATGGGGTGCGCATGAAGTAATAGGGGAGGGGAGAAGTGTAGCCAGACCCTCAACAAGAGGTTCAGGAGGAGCTAAAAGAGGGGTATAAAAAATAGTCCTATTGGATTCCGGGAGGGTCCACAGAGCCCAGAACGCCAGATGATTACAGGGGACAAATAAAGAGAAGACAGGGACGGGTGTGGGGGTCATAGGGAGGGAGCCGGGTGGAGATACCAAGCAGAGAACCCCATTGCAGGAGTTTGGTGGAGGTACACAGGGAGCCAGTTCCTGTTCCCTGCATAGGCTGCTCAAGACGGCTGCTCAGCAACCAAGACAGGCAGACACCTGAGACTCATTAAGAGCTGGCCTGCAGCAGCAGGCTAATTAGACACCTGCAGCCAGTGCAGGCCTGCTGGGCTCCTATAAAAGGCTTCCCCTCAGGGCAGGAGCGGAGGAAATGTAGAAGACTGGAAGATTGCAGGTGGGAGAGGTTTCACCTAGGTGCCCAGGTCAGGAGATGGTTCTGTGGGCGGTGATGGGGGAAGTGGTCTAGGGAACAGCTGCTACTCTGTGGGGAATAAGGGCAAGAGCCTGCCTAGTGGCCAGTACCTAGGGCCCTGGACTGGAATCTGGAGTAAGTGAGCGGGACTGAGTTTTCCCCATGCCCGGTGGGCCACCACTGGGGATAAAAAGGGGAATCTAAGACCACGGAAGGGTTTCCCCCCAAGCTAGTGACTTGACTGTGATAAAAATGATTCATGATGCAGGGAGCTCTCACCTCTGGGAGAGACAAGATGCAGTGTGTGTGGGGGGG